TGGTTGCTCCACGGGTCCCTGCTTACTGCTCCTGTTCCATCAGCACTTGGCCTTTCACTTAGTAAGACAGTTGTACCTGCTTTCCTGTTGCTTCTCTTGTTCTTTCTCTCACAAAGTACTGCACTTGGGGGAGACTTTTTCAGGAAGTGTAAGGCAGCACTCCTCGAGCTTCAAGAGATCTGAGGAGAAGTTGGCCACTGGAAAGAAGAGAAAGTACAACTATCATCTCTCTACCTATACTTACGGTTTTTAGCATGGTAACACAGCAAGAACCTCCAAGTATTTTAAAAGCAGAATTAGCAATAGCAATTTTCCCTTTCTTCAAGGGAGAAAAGTTATTTATAGTGTCTCACTTGTGTTAATTTGTTATTACTATCTGTACAATGGCAGTGTGTGGTTTTCTGATACTGATACGTGCCTGCAGCGCTATGGAGCAATGATGGAAAGTGGCACTCCTGTCCAGAGGCAACAGGACAAGCCTGTGCCTTATCTCTTGTCTCCACAGGTGCTCTGGATGCCATACAAAACCAAGAGAGGATGAGGAAGTGGGTTTATTTTTCTGTGGTGCCTGTTGGGGGACTAGCATGGGTTAGGGTAGCATGCAGATTTTGTGATGCTGCTTTGAGCTCCTCCAGGCTGTGAGTTAGCAGACTACCTGTGTTGTTCTTGCTAAAAGAAATTTCAAATTAATTTTCTTTCTTCAGGACCTGAAATGTTACTGAATCTTTCCTAAGGGCAGGTGCTCAGAGGAATGAGAAATACGTCCTCTAACATGGCTTTTTCAATGGTAGGAGAAATTATTTTGTTGGCAAAGGACATCTTATGTACAGCTTCTGTTTGCCTAGGGCATGGCAGGCTTGTGCAATGAATTACCACTCCCTTTCACTGCTGAGCTGCTTATTAATTACATAATCAAACAGCAATGACTTAACAAAAAATCATATTATTCTTCTATTTAAATGGATAATGGTGTCAGGTTCATGGTCACTTTACTAGTGGCCACCTCAGTGTTTTCCTGCAGGAGAGATCACCACAGAAAATATTGGTCTTTGTGACATGATGGCTGAGGCCCAACTCCAGTGATAAAACCAAACCAAAAGTCATCAACAGGCAAAACTTCCCTGATGTGCAAGCATGGATCCACTGAGGAGACTGGAGAAACTCCAGTCCTGTGTCATTGTGTTCCCCTGTCCTGTCATGTGTCATCCGTGTCCCGCCCCCCCCCCAGCCTTGAAGGTTAGACAGAGACATGTCCATGACTGTCCCTCCCTTCGGCTACGGCTGCCCCAGCCCTCCAGTGCGTACAAATGTGCCATTTCTTAATAATGTACAGCTCTGACTTGAAGGTTGGGTGGAAGTGTGTGGAGCCCCAGGAACAGAAACATTTTAATTCTGGGACCATAGATCAACTTGGACACTGTGTGAAATGCATTAAGAGGAAAGCTCTTCCATTTCTACTATTATACCCCAGGAAAAGCTGGTACAAGGAAGGCCTTGGTGCCCTCGCCTTAACTGCAGAGAGAGCAAAAGGGGTGGGGAGGACTTCAGTCCATGCTTTGGTTTTCTCTTTTGCCCCATGCACATACTGATGCTCCCACAGGTCATGTTTGCAGAAGCAAGCATGAATCCTTCTATGATTGCAAGGTAATAATCAAATTAAATCTAACATTTGCTGCATTTCCTTATCTGTTAGGTTATCTGTTGTCTCCTCTTGGGTTTTCATTGTGAAGCAGAATAGCTGCAGGAGAGAGAAGCCCTCCTTGTTAATTCTCCAGGTGGGGTTGGATTGGATTTTGAAGGGTAATAGGTGACAGGGTGCTGCTGTAGCTGGAGAAGGCCCTGCCTAGGGAGGAGGCAGTGAGGGAGGCCTGCTGCCTCACCAGCTGCTGGAGGCACCACTTGGAGAAAAAATACGGGTGTATGGGGTGGAGTTTTGCCATAAGTTTCACATTTAAATGCGAGTGCCAGCTGGGGTGGGTTATGCTGTGGTTATAAAGACAGCGTTAAGAGTAGTTTAATCGTGCTGGTCTCGGTGAGTGCGTCAGCGTCCCCGGGGGGGAGGGGCGGTCAGCTCAAGGAGAGACCACCGGGGTGCGCGACGCTCCTCCCACCCAAACCCAAGCTTTTCCCCCTCCGTGAGTGCCACCCGCCTGAGGCAGGGCGCCGGCGGCCCCCGGGGAGGCAGGCGGGCCCTGACACTCAGCTCACCGCCCACTGAGGGGCGGTGGTTCCCGCCCTCCTCAC